AGCCGCTACTGACCCGAAGTCCTGGTCCATGGACTTGAAGAAGAACTTGTAGCAGTGAGCCGGCCGGTTGCTGAGCACGCTCTTGAAGTCGGCCAGCGTGACCCGCTCGGGGGCCACCGGCAGCTTGACCAGGTAGGGCGTCTCCTCCTCGTCCATGTGGTAGATGATCTTGGTCTCCGCCATGGGGGGCGGGCCGGGAGAGCCCGGGGCAGGGGGCGCCGGGGGCGGAGGAGACGGTGGCACTGGGTCAGCGCGGAGCCCGGAGTGCGGGGCCCCGAGTGGACCGCGGCCGTGGCCGCAGAAGCGGAGGCCGGGCGCCGGGGGCTCGGGCTTTCTGGGCCGGCGGGGCCCAGGCCCCGGTCCAGGCCGCGGAGGCGGAGGCGGAGGCGGCTCCTGATCGCGCAGGGAGGCTGGGCCAGCTGCAAGGGGAGGCCGAGGCCGAGATCCGGGCGGAGGCGGCGCGCCGGCTGCTGCCCCCCGCTCTGCCCCCGCGGCCGCCCATCCGCGCCCCGGCCCGGGCGCGCCGGGGGAGGCCGCCTCGGACGCCTGCCCGGGGGGGGGCTTCGGGGCCACCGGCCGGGCTGGCTGGAGGCGGGCCGGGAACTGACCGAGCTCTAAAGGGCCGCGGCGGCGAGAGCCGGACCCGGAGCCGGACCCGGAGCCGGAGCCGGAGCCCAAGCGGGCCACAGACAGGCGAGCGCCGAGCCCGGATCGGGGGCTCCCCGCGCCCTGCAATTAGCGGCGTGAGTAATGCGGCCGCCCCGCCCGGCCAGGCCCGGCCCCCTGCCCCTGGGCCCCCCTCCCTGCCTGCCTCCGCCCGGGGCCCCTCCCTCAGTGACGCCCCCTCCCCGCCCCGAGCCTCAGCTCCCAACCCAGTCCCAGCGCCCGGTCCCTCGCCCGCACCCGCGCCGGCACCGCCCCCCGCCCCCTCGCGACGTCTCTGCGCGTGGCTCTGCCTCGCCCCCCTCCGCAGCCAAAGGCTGAGTTAAAGGGACCGCAGCCCCAGCGGCCGGGATCCCGGGGGAGGGGAGTGGGGAGGGGCAGTCAGGAGACATCCCACCTTGTCCCCCCTCCCCGACTCCCTGCGATTATGGCCGGGTGGGGAGGGGGGACTCCACGGTTACGAGACTCCTTAATGTGCCCGTGCGTCCCCCTTGCTGAAGGCTGCAGGGGTTTGGGACGGCTGCTCGCTGCCCTGGGGGGGCTATCGCAGCCCCTGCAAGCAGGAGTACGGGACCCGTCCTGCACAGGGTCTTGCGTGTGACCACCCGGCGGGTTCCTGCTGTCTTTCTTGGTGTCTGTCTCCCTTCCTCAGTCAGTGTGCCTATCTCTGCGTGTGTCTGTATCTGAGCTTCCGTGTGTGTCTGGCTGTGTGTCACTTCATGTCTCTTTCTCCCTGTTTCTATTTTTCTCTCTCTCTAGGTGTCTCTGTCTCTGTGTCTGTATATATGGGTCTCTCTGAATCTGTCTCTGGCTGTGTCACTCCATGTCTCTGTATGACTCTGCCTTCAGGCTCTGTATCTCTCATTTCTATGACTTTCTGTCTGTCTCTGTCTCGATGTCTGTATGCCGACTTGTCTGTGTCTCTGGCTAGGGTGTGTTTCCTACAGAGGTCTCCCCCGGTTGCCTTCCAACGCCTGGAATTCCATTATAAGAATGACTCTTTTGTTGTTTAGTAGTGTCTGACTCTTCCTGAATGCGGTTTTCTTGGCAAAGATACTGGAGCAGTTTGCCATTTCCTTCTCCAGCTCTTTTTTTACAGATGAAGAAACTGAGGCAAACGGGGTTAAGTGACTTGCCCAGGGTCACACAGCTAGTAAGTGTCTGAGGCTGGATTTGAACTCAGGAAGATGAGTCTTCCTGACTTCAGGCCAGAGGTTCTATTCACTGAGCCACCTTGCTGCCCCCTCAGGCTCTAAGCTTCTTCCTCGAGAGGCCCTGGGAGAGATCCTGGTTCCTGTACCAGTCGCTTACACCCAAGCAAATGAGGTGATCTCTGAGGCCCCAACAGCCAGAATCCTGAGTGAGGACTGATAATATTGTTACAGATTGGTAACTGATACAAGGTATCTGTCCTATGCCCTGGGAGCTCCATTCTCTTTGAGCTGCTCTCCCAGAAGCCAAGCAGGAAGGCTTGACATTTTGGTTACTATAGGGGTTTTTGGGGGGGCCCAGGCCTAGGTAACTACGTGGCACAGTAGACAGAGAGCTGGGCCTGGAGTCTGGAAGACCTGAGCTCATATTTGACCTCAGACACTTATTAGCTAAGTGACTGTGGACAAGTCACTTAACCTCTGCCTCAATTTCCTAAACGGTAAAGTAGGAATAATAATAGCACCTATCGTCCTGGGTTGTTGTGAAGATCAAATGGGATACTATTTGTAATACTGTAATATTTGTAATAATATTTGCAGTACAGTGCCTGGACTATAGTAGATGCTTAATAAAAGGTTGTTTCCTCCCTCCCATCGTGGAAACTCCCTCCACTGATGCAGATGGGCAAATCTGGCAACTGATTTGGATCCCAAGTGGTCCTCCATGTCTGAAATGCACTCCTTCCTCACTTCCCTCTACCTCCCTTCAAAGAATAACTCAGAGACAACCTTTAGGAGGCCTTTCCTCATATCTCTAATTATTAGTACTTTCTCCCCCTTGAAAAAAAATAATTTGGGGATGACTGAACAGGTTGTGGCATATGATTGTGATGGAATACTATTGTGCTGTAAGAAATGATGAGAATGATGAGGGGGAGAAACCTGGGAAGATTTATATGAACTGATACAAAGTGAAGTGAGCAGAACCAGGAGAACATTGTACACAGTAACAGCAACATTGTAACGATGATCATCTGTGGAAAAAGTTAGCTACTCTGCTCAAGAGAATGACCCATGATAATTCCAAAGGACTCATGATGAAAAATGTTATCCACCTCCAGAGGGAGAACTGATGGAATCTAAGTACAGATTGAAGCATTTTTTTCACTTTAAAAATTTTTTTATTGCTTTTTTTTTTGGGGGGTGGGGACACTATAGCTAATGTGGAAATATGTTTTGCGTGACTTCTTATGTAGGATGACATCCTATTCTTTGCCTTCTCAATGGATGGGGGTGGGAGAGAATTTGGTACTGAAAATTTTTTAAAAATTTTAAAAGAAAAAATAGCTATTTGTCTATGTATCTATCCAAATGTGTATGTGTGTATAAATTTAAGGTTTGCAAAGAGCTTTACAAATATTATCTCATTTTATCCTCATGACCACCCTGAGAGGGAGGTGCCATTATTATCTCTATTTTAAAGATGAGAAGACTGAGGCAGATGGAGGTCAAGTGACTTGCCTAGGGTCACACAGCTAGTAAGTAGTTCCTGACTCTTGGTCCAATACTCTATCCACAGTACACTAGCAGCAATAACAATAACAACTACAACTACAACAACAACTATTATTATTATTATTATTATTATTATTATTATTAGCATTTGGCTGAACAAGTTACTTACCTTGTTATGGTCTCTAAGGCTATGAATTAAAGAAAAGGCATTGATCTGCATTAGCAGAGGAAGTCTCCTCTTCTGAGGGCGCCCTATCCCAATGAAATCATGGTCCTGTTTCCAGCCCTATCTTTTTCTGAAGTTCTTTAAGGCTTTCATACATACATACATACATACGTAAATATGTGTGTGTGTATGTATGTATGTATGTGTGTATATGTATATAATCTTATTTGATCCTCACAACAACCCTGTGAGGTATGGAAAAGCTGCTATTTTTCCCATTTTACAGATGAGGAAACTGAGGCTGGGAGGTTAAATGATTTGCCCATGAAAGATTCTAGAAAGAGTCTATCTAAGGTCTTCCTTAACCTGGTCTAGCACTCTATTCACAAAGACACCTAGCTGTCTCTGGCACCAAACTGCACCCTAACCTTACTTAGCAAAGGTGGAGGATTGTGGACGTGGATATCTGCACATGATGTCAAACTTTTTCGTGTATTGGTTAGTTTTGCTAAATTGGTCATTTTCCCTCTTTTTTATTATTTGTTATAGGGGAGGGCTCCCTGGAAAGGAGGGGAAATGATGCATTGGGGAATGTAGATGATATAAAAAACAAAAGATATCAATAAAAATTATTTTTAAAAAGAAGCTACATTCTACAATTTATGGATCTTTGCATTTACATATGTTCATCCATGTTGTGTATCTCAGTAAAATGTAAACTCCTTGTGGGCGGGGACTCTGCCACTTTTTGGTAATGCTTAGTAAATGTTTATTGGTTGGGTCATGGAGAGGTTAAATGATTTGCCTGTGGTCCCTCAGAGACAAGATTTCCACCCAAGTCTTCCTGCCTCTGAGGCGGATCTCCGATCCATTTGTGAATGATGGAGGTTCAGTTTTATATAAAATCATTTTAAAATGTGGTTTCTCCATTTCCATGTTTGTTTTATGAATGGTTATTAAGTGTGGCATTAAAAAACACACACACTTCAAGCTTGTGTGGTATTGGTATAGGTAACACTTACCCCTCACTAAAAAAAGCCATCATTCTTAGCTCTTCTGAGCAATGCAATGATCTAAGACAATTCCAAAAGACTCATGATGGAAAATGCTGTCTACATCTGGAGAAAGAACTATGGAGTCTGAATGCAGATCAAAACATACCATTTTCTCTTCCGTTATTTTTTTGTTGTTTCTTTCTTGTGGTTTTTCCCTTTTGTTCTGATTCTTCTTTCATAACATGACTAATGTGGAAATATGTCTAATGTGATCATACATATATAGCCTGTATCAGATTGTACACCATCTTGGGGTGGGGGGAGGGGAGGAGAAATTTAGAACTCAAAATCTTATAAAAGCGAGTGTTGAAAACTAAAACTAAATTAATTAATTAAAAATTTTTGTCATTGTTTAGTCGTGTCTAACTCTCTGTGACCGTATTTGGGGTTTTCTTGGCAAAGATGCTGGAGTGATTTGCCACTTCCTTCTCCAGATCATTTTATAGATGAGGAAACCAAGGCAAACAGGGTAAGTGATTTGCTCAAGATCCCACAGCCAGTAAATGTCTGAAGCTAGCTTTGAACTGGGGAAGATCAGTCTTCCTGATTCCAAGCCTGGTACTCTGTCCACTTTACCACCTAGCTGCCCCTTCTCCCTAGCTATAACCAAATAATTCATCTTGCTGTGGCCAGCCTGTTGGCTAGCTTCCCCTCACCTCCACCCCAAAGTCCTAATTTAGCTCTGTTAGCCCTGGACTAGCAGAGGTCATCACTGAACTGTCTTGGAAGTTCTCCCAGCTTGCCAGGGCTTGCCAGGGCCCCCACTCCATTGGCACAGCCTTGGAGAATCCAGAGTTCCTTTCATGCCAGGGTGAGGGATCAGGAGAGGACTTTGATGGAGGAATCCCAAAGTAAATTAAATAGATGTTTATTGCTGTGCTGGCTGGATTTTCATTGTGTCTCTGTAAACGTCCTGGAGATGTTTGCCCCTGTCCAGGAATGTTTCAGGTGGGATAATATGGTTCCGTTCCTAACCTTCAGACTTTAAAGGGTATATCTTTTGGGCGGGGGCAATTGGGGTTAAGTGACTTGCACAGGAGCACACAGCTAGTAAGTGTCAAGTGTTCGGTCTGAGGCCAGATTTGAATTCAGGTTCTCCTGACTTCAGGGTCAGTGCTCCATTTAAAGGGTATATCTAACTACAGCACTTAGTATAGTGTCCAGCACATAGTAAGAACTTTTTTTTTTCATTCATTCATTCCTTTACTCCTACACTCTACACAGGCTTCCCTAGAGGAAAAAAAGTGGTTCCCAGTAGTTTCCTAAGGGAAGCACCAATCTTCTCTACCTTCAGCTTGGGACAGGGCAACTACTCCTCTGATCATCCCAGCCTAGAGAGTCAGCTTGAGCAGGGTAGCAAGAGGGCTCGGCTTGGAGACCAGAAAACCTGGAGCAAGCCCTGCCTCAGATGCCCACTAGCTGGGGACTCTGACCAAGTCACCTAACCTTGAAACCTCAATCACCACTCTCAGATCTCTAGACAGGCTGTGATCTGCTTCAGCATAGGTGAAATCACAGATCCTCACAGTAGTGACCTGTTCCCTTACGACTCATGGCTCTCTCAGGACTATTCCTGGTGCCTGGGTGTCATCGAACACTGTGCAAAGAGTGAGAGAAAACAAGACTGTCAGCATGTACCTGAACGCATGAAGCACACGGGAAAGGCATCACTGACGGGGAAAGTGGACGCACCACCTCCCTCCCTTTCCATCAGAGCTGGGGGACTCTGGGTGTGGAAGACGGACAGTCCACAGACTGGGTGGGTGGCATGACTCCTCTTTTTCTCTTTCTTTTTTAAGCTTTGTTACAAGGGATGGCTAGATGTGAAGAGGATGGGGGGATATATTTGGAAAAGAAGGTGATATAAGAATAAAATATGTCAAAGAAAATAAGCTTAAGATGGCGGGGGGAAATGGAGACAAAGTCCTACCAAAGTCAAATTTGGCCAACTTCACAGCTGTGGTGATGGAAAATCCTGTGGACAAACCAGATTGATTGAATGAATGAATATGAGTGAATGAGTGAAAAAGGCATTTATTAAGTACTTGCTGTATGCCGTTCAGTAAGAGCTGGGGATGCTGAGAGAGACATACAGAGACAGAGAAAGAAGGAAAGAAGGAGGGAGGGAGGGAGAGAAGAGAGAAAGAGAGACAGAGAAGGAGAAAGAAGGAGAGGAGGAAGGGAAAGATACAGAGAAAGAGAGACAGAAACAGAGAGACAAAGGGAGATAGAGAAATGATCTCTGCCCTTAAGAAGCTTCCACTCTAATAAGGGAAGATTATAATACACATGGAACAGCTAGGTGGTGCAGTGGATAGAGTGCTGGGCCCGAAGTCAGCAACACTCATCTTCCTGAGTTCAAATCTGGCCTCAGACACTTCCTAGCTGGGTGACCCTGGTCAAGTCACTTCACTCTGCCTCAGTTTCCTCATCTATAAAATGAGCTAGAGACAGAAATGGTAAAACAACTTTAGTATCTTTGCCAAGAAAACTCTAAATGGGATCACAAAGAGTTAACGCAACTGAAAAATGACTGAATAACAGCAACAAATACTACACATAAGTGGAGAATGAAATGGCAAACCACTCCAGAATCATTTGCCGAGGAAACCTCATGGACTGTGTGGTCTACAGGGTCACAAAGAGTCAGAGGCCACTGAACATCTCAACAACATCACTACACATATAGTGGAGATGGCTGGGGAAGGGAGGCGGAATACTGAGGAGGAAGGCATAGGGCTGGAACTCCAAAGACAAATACATTAACTTCCCCAGGGACTGGGGGCATGGATGGGGAAGACTGGGTGTGGAAGTCCAGAACTGGTATGGCCCAGCCAGTTCACACACATTCACTGGGGATGATTCGGCATTATGGTGGCTAGAAAGTGAGATCTGGAGTCAGGGAGACCTGGGTTCAGACTCCACCTTTGACCCTTACTAGCTTAGTGATCTCAGGCACGAGATGTAACTGCTCAGAGCCTCAGTTTCCTTATTTGTAAAAGGCACTAGTAGTGGCTACCTAGAAAGGTTGCTTTGAGTATCAAACAAGATCATGTAAAGGCATTAAAATGGAAATTCTTTGAGGGTGTTTAGTTTTTAAAACCATTTTTATAACACGCATAATAACATCTATAACATCTTTTATTTTAACATCTGTTATATTTATAACATCTATGCTTCCTACTCCTTCCCCCAACCCCAACAAAAACCAAAAGAAACCAAAACACTCCTCCTCATAAGCAGGAATCATTTACCAAAATACATCCCCATACTGGCCATTGCTGAAAAGGTGTGTCTTGGGCAGGAACTGTTCATGCCTTTTTTTTTTTATCTTGCCAGGATTTAGCATAGTGCTTAGCATGTGGGGAATGCTTAATATAAGCCTGTTGCATCAGTTGCTGGCTGCGGCGTTTTATATACTGAACTAAACAATGCTAGTGTTGACTGTTTGAATGCCAGCCCTCGCTATCAGTCCTGGGTCTTGCTGAGCCAGAGATCATGAAGGACGGGGTGGCCTCGCCTAAAATTGGCAGCGAGGACCCACCTGCAGTCTCCCTATCAGGCCTAGGGTGCTCCAGCAGTAGCAAGGAGTCAGTTGGGGTTCAGTAACTGATTCAAGCATAGTACCATAGCTGGAGGGACCTCAGACCCCACTGAGTCCAGGCCCTCTTATTTTACAAATGAGGAAACTGAGTCTCAGTAAGCTGAAGTGATTATAGTAAACAGCAAGGCTGGGATAAGAACTCAGCTCTTCTGGCTCCAATTGCCGCATTGTGTCACCCAGGAACGGCCACCGGGAATATACCTGTACAGAGAGCCCAGCCGCATTGTAGTTCAGTGAGCTCTGACCCTTTCTGACCCTACTTGGGCTTTCCTTGGCAGAGATACTGGAGCGGTTTGCCATTTCCTTCTCCAGCTCATTTTACAAATGAGGAAACTGAGACAAACAGGGTCACACAGCTAGGAAGTGTCTGAGGTCAGATTTGAACTTAGAAAGATGAATGAGTCTTCTTGACTCCAGGTCTGGCGCTCTATGCACTATGGCACCACCTAGCTGCCCAGCTTCAGGCTTTGCCTAACAGAGGCTCTGATTAATGGAGATGGAGACAGCCCTTTCCCAGTCCCCCATTCAGGTAATCCTTGTCTGCTCAAGGTTATGGGTAGAAGATGTTGTAGGCTCTGGTAGTCCTGGGGACTCCTGAGGCCCATGGCAGGGGGTCAGTAGGGTTTAGCTCTGTTCAAGGAGGCCTCTGTTCCCGCATCCTGCTTAAAAGACATCTAGGTGGCCAGGCCTGGAGTCAGGAAGACCTGTGTTCAATCCAACCTCAGGCACTTGCTAGTTATGGGATCCTAGGGAAGTCACTTCGACCTCTGTTTGACTCAGTTTCCTAATCTGTAAGATGGAAATAAAAAATAACATCTACCTCCTAAGTTTATTTTTTTGTTTGTTTGTTTTTGTGTGGCAATTGAGGTCAAGTGACTTGCCCACGGTCACACAGCTAGTAAGTGTCAAGCATCTAAGGTCAGATTTGAATTCAGGTCCTTCTGACTCCAGGGCTGGTGCTCTATCCATTAAGCCACCTAGCTACCCCACTAAGGTTTTTGTAGGAATAAAATGAAATAATAATTTTAAAGTGCTTTATAACCCTTAAAGTGTTACAAAATATAAATGCTAGCTATTATTACTACAAACTTCTCATTATCCATAGCTTCTGGTTGGCTCCCAGGCATCCTTATCTGAATGCTGTTAGAACCCTTGTGGTTCACGAATAAAACAGAGTATCACTGAGCTAAGAAATGATGAATGGGAAGAATACAGAAGACATCTATTGCATGAGCTGATGCAGACTTAAGAAAGGAAAACCTGGAAAAGAAGAAGGGGGAAGGTACCCCAAGGATCCTTGGTGGGGATGGACCTCTGTTCTAGCCCCTTCCAGAGCACACAATGACTACAAGTAGAAAGAATCAAAAAGAAAAGAAAGTCAACTCCATTTAATTGAAGAAACTCAAGTCCATCAATCAATCAATATTTATTAAGCACATACAATGTGCCAGGCTCTGGGACTGCCTTAGGCTCTAAGGATCTAAGTACAAAGAATGGAGGAAACAATAAGGAAATATATAAGTACATGCAGCATAAGTATAAAGTGAATAAATACCAATAAATATGAAAATTGTATCTTCCTCTATTTATTGGGCAAGCAGGGACCTGTGGGTGTGGAACGCTGCATATATGGTCAGACTCAGTTGATTTGTTGGTTAATTTCATAGAACTGGCTTTCCCTCCCTTTTTTCTTTTCTTTTTATTTGTTGGTACAAAGTATGGCACCTGGGCTGGGGAAAGGGGAAGCAGGGATCTATTTGGAAATGGAGATATTTTCTAAAAAATAATTTTTTAAAGTCAGAATCCATTAGCCCATCCTCTAGACCAGACCCCCAATGACACTGAGCACAGCCTGCTTTGCCAGCCAGTGTCCTTTCTTTGAGCTCCAGCCCCAGGGGATCTGGAGCTCTGGCCACTAGAGGGAGACAGGAGAGCTGGAAATAGAGCTTCAGGAGGAGGGTGAGGGGAGAGTAGGGGAGGAAGAGGATTCTGTCATCTTGGCTGGAAACAGCCTGCCCAGAATGGCAGACAAAAGAGGCTAGATTTGAGCCAGTAACCAGGGTTTTTGAGGGTCTTTGAGCTGAGAAAGGACCACTGAACCTTAGGAAAAGTGAGGTCATAGATCAAGGGAGCCCAGAAATTAGAGCTGGAAGATCCCTTCAATATCAACTAGTCTGACCCCTTGTTTTACAAATGGGGAAACTGAGGTCTAGAATGCAAACGTGACTCAGCTAGGGTCACACAGGATCCAAATTCATTGCCATTCAGAATGGACTATTCACTCAATAAATCAATACGTTTAAGCAACTAACGTGTGCCATGTCCCCGGTCAGGATTGGCAGGATTGGGGGTACAAAGACAAAAGAGAGAAAATGAAACAAAAGCTCCTAGCTCCCCCTCCCGATTCCCCCTGCATATGCCATGCATGCCCCTCCCCATAAACACTCAGGCGTCCTTGGTCTTGGGGGCCTTCCAACCCTGGGAACTCTGCTGCCCGAAGGAAAAAAATACTGTAAACAGCAAAACCTCAGAAGCTCCTGCTGCCCACGTCACCAGTCTGTCCTCCAAAGCCGGCCGGCAGCCCAGCATCTTGGAAGGCCAAAAATTCAGGAGAATGGGAATGAAGAGGCCCAGCAACCTCAAAAACTCAGGAGTCCAAAGGCCTGGAGAAGCAGAGCCCTAGGATCCCGGGACCCCAGAGACCTGGGAGTCTAAAGACCCAGGGATCCAGTGACTCAGGACCCCAAATACTGAGGAGCCCAGAGAGAGGCTCAGGAGCCCAATGACCCAGAAGAGGAGGAATTCAGACGGCCAAAAACATTTGGTGCCTGGAACAAGGGATTCATAAGCCTAGAGGAATGGAGAAGTCCAAAGGCAAGGGAACCCAGACACTCAGGAACCCAGATACCCAGGAACCCAGACACTCAGGAACCCAGATAGTCAGGAACCCAGAAACCTGGGAGCTCAGGATGACCAGGAACTTAAAGATCTGAGAGTGCAGAGGCCCCAGATCTAACAGACTCGGGAGCCCAGAGGGCCAGAAGCAACATAATAACTCAGGAGTCCTGAGGCCCAGAGGCTCAGAAATCCCAGAATTCAGAAGCCCAGGATGCAGAGACCTGAGAACTCAAGGGCCCAGGAGCTAAAAGAACTCAGTTGTTGGTTTCAATCATTTTGGGGGGCCTGGGATTGCAGCACCATCCCCCATCCCACTTACTGTCTGAGATAGGAAAAGAAGATGCCAGGTCATGGGCCCTGAGGGCTTTCTGCCTCTCCCAGGGTCTAGCCTGGTGGCACCTCCCACAAACCAGCCAGACACACTTCTAAGCAGCCAGCTCTGAGAGCCAATCTGGGGGGGGGGGTGGAGATTCAGGGCACATTTACTACCCCAAAAGGCCCATAGGATGGGAGTAGGGGAGGGTTAGCCAAATCAATCCAACAAGCAATTATGAAGTGTCCATATGTGCAGGATTCTGGGGACACAAACTGGAAAATGTGCCCCGTGGTCCTTCAGGGCTCCCTGTCTTCACTGGTCTGCTTTTCTTTCTCTTTCCACATCTTTCTCTATTTTTCTTTTCGTTTTGGTGAGTCAATCAGGGTTAAGTGACTTCCCCAGGGTCACATAGCTAGTAAGTGTCAAGTGTCTGAGGCTGGATTTGAACTCAGGTCCTCCTGACTCCAAGGCCAGAGCTCTATCCATTGTACCACCTAGATGCCCCTCCACATCTTTCTCATGATGACTCTAGGCACTTACCCCAGCATTCAAGAACCTGGCTCCAACTTAACCTAGTTAAGCCTCAGTCCTTTCCTTCCTTCAAATGCGGCCTCATCTCCCCTCCCCCGCCCCAACACTCTTACCCACCCATGCAGCTCTTTCTCCTACAATTAATCTCCCTGCTTTAAGAATCTCACCCAAGAACTGCCTGAAAGGGAAGGTTGTTAAAATCTGGATATGGACCTAGAAAGAGAAGGGAACTAGGTCTTGTTCTGCCAAGATCTTTGAAATACAGAGAAGGTCAATGGGGATGAGACAGCTGGGGAGGAGGAGGAGGAATGGGGAATGGTAAGGTAATTCCATCTGGAGGTGGGGGGAGCCAGGTGACAGATGATAGAGCCAAGTGGGTCCTTTTCAGCACAGGTGTGGTGGCAGCTCCCAGTAGGGCTGGAAGTCCAAAGTGGCAAGATTGGAGGTCCAAGGCTGGTGATCTGTGATAGTTGGGCTGAAAGTCCAAGATGGCAGCCCCAGAAGGGAGCTAGCACCATGGCTTACAGCTATGTCACTGACTTTCAATGGTAACGCTAAAAGAGAGACTAAGACCACAGGTACCTTTGGCCTTTATTGTCTCCATTGTTATGATGTAGATGAGAAATATACAGGAAGGTATACAAGAAGAATGAGCAAATGACCATGGGGTCAGTGGCATCCAGTTCACGAAGTGTAAAAAGGTTCAAGACAGATCCGGGGCTGATGGGCCGAGGGAAACCCATCCCTACCTCTACTGCCCTGGGCATGGTCAGGAGTGGAAGCCAATCACAGCACCCCCATTCCCCAATACCAGCTGGCAGGAATTCTGATGGGAGCTGAAGATGATGAATGGTGGGGTAGAGGAGAGAAGGGGTCGTGGAGGGCAGGGGAAGGCACCATGACAGAGATAGGGGTGGGGCCTCAGCTTATGCAGCCCCTTCTGCAGACGGCCTTGCTCTGGTCTCAGTGGGCTGCTAGCATCACCTCTCCAAGGTTACCATGTCTCTGGTTTGTGAATATCCCGTATCCACCTAAATGTGCATGTATCCTCCCTTAGAATGCAACCTCTTTGAGGGCAGTCAATCAATAAGCATTTATTAAGCTCCTACTGTGTACCAGGTACTGTGCTAAGTGCAAAAACCAGTCCCTGCTCTCAAGGAGCTCACAATCTAATGGAGAGACTTTTGTATGTTATCCCCAGAGCCAAGCACAGTGCCAGGCACACAGTAGGTACTCAATAATTGTTTGTTGATTGATAAAAGGGGAGGGCTCAAGACATCTCCAATTTGCTTCGGAATCCCAGGGACAGTTCCACAGCTTGGAGTAGCAGACAGGCAGAGCTAAGGGGGGGCCGTCCACACTCCAATTCTGAGTTCTCTTGTCACCTTCCACTATCTCCCTCCCGCCTGGCAAAGCATGCTCCGTCCTCTCCTAGTCATCAGAGACCGGGACTTTGGAGAAAAGAAGTACTGATCTATGACTAACCATGCCAAATAGAGTTAGGGGTGATACAGAAAACTCCCAGACACTAGGTAACAACAGACAAATCCAGGTAACTCAGACCAAGTGCAGCTAGCCAGGCCTCGGTGATCATATAACCCACCTATGTAGAATAAATAATGGTGTGCATCACTCCTGGCTGGCACAGGCTGGTCCAGCAGGGAATCAGCCTGTCCTTAACCCCCTAGGCAGAGGTTGATAGCCCACAAAGGATATACAGCACAGTCACATCATTGAGCATTGCCTACATTGGGCTGCTGAGGGGTTGCTGGGGCTGTGATGAGGGGATTGGGGGAGAAGGCTGTCCTCCAGGGCCTGCCTGTATGTAGCTGGGCCATTCCACTCCCCTCTGGGTTTCAAGGAGTGTCATCTGTGATGAGGGAAGTGTGGGAAGGTTCCACTGACCAATTACCCAAAGTCAACCCTGAACTCTCCCTCCCAGGAGAACCCTGCAGTAGATTGTGGGGGTCCCCACTCAGACCTCCCCCTCTCCTCTCTTCCTCTCCCATCTACCAGCTGGGAGTTCCCCCCAATGAACCGTTTCTGAAACACAAATTGGCAGAAATTTCCAACCCAGGAAAATTAAAATTGTGAGTTTCTTCCCCATGTCACTTTCTTCTCTCCCTCCATATGACACTCAGAATCCATTTAGCTCCTTCCTTCTTTTCTATCCCCTAATTTCCTTCCTAAATCAACTCCCTAGGAGTTCTGTCAATGAAGTTTTCCCAGAGGGCTCCTACAGAGCTCAGTTCCACTTGGCAGGGCAGCCACATCTTCCACATCCAGTCACATTGTGCCACGCCCGAGGGGTAAGCACAGCCAAAGCCATGGAAATGAGGGCTCGTGTCCAGCCCTAGGAGGGGACGGGGAGAGTATTCCAGTTTGGGGGTCAGGGTACAGTAGGGCAGAGAGAGTCTAGGGCTGGAGAGCACCAGGTCCTTTTACAGCAATCAGTCCCAAGGCCAGAGGGTAAAGAAGGCTTAGAGTACAGAGCTGGCATGATACGGCCTGGGCACAGGCTGCTGGCAGGGGTGAAGGAAGTAGTTTAAAACAGGCGGGGAGTGGTAGGAGGCCAGCCCTAGCCTGGGTCCCAGCATTGAATTTGTAGCTTGTAGAGAGTGGAGGGACATAAGGAACACCCCCTGTCCCGAATCACAAGGCATCAGCCAGGCCGTGTCCTATGTGCCTTGGTCCACTGGTGGGAAGGGTGAGCAGAGTAAGGGGCAAAGGACCCCAGAGGAGACACTGCCCTGAGAGACCCCAGGGAGCAGGGGAGACTCTGACCTTGGGCACAGAGGGAGGGTCCAGCCCTGGGCCTCTGGGCCTGAGAGAAAGCTGGGATGTGAAAAGTCCAGCAAAAATGCGTTTCTCATCCCCAAACTCACCCCATCCTGGTGGCCAAGATCCAATCAAACCCCAAAGAGAGCGGGGACCTGCCGCAGGGGTGGGCCAGACCAGATGGAAGTCCTGGATGAGTGGGAGGAGGTCGTGATGGGAACAGGGGCAATGGGGGCAGGATTGGGGAGGGGGATCTTCTGGGGGTGGGGCTGATGCCAGAAGTCTTCATTTACAATATTCTTTCTGGAACCTAGACATCAAAGGAGAGGAAAAAAGGGGAGGATTAGTTCCAGCCAGAGCCTGGGGACCAGAGACAAGGGTTGGCCTCCATCTTCACCAGGAACAAAGCGATTACATATGTGTGTTATGTATATGTGCGTGTGCATATACATATGTGTATTATGTACACAGATATACAATCACACAGGGCTTTACCATTTTTAAAGCATAAATTAGCTCATTTGAGTATTACGTGGCCCCCGGAGGTAGGTGTAATTCTTAGCCCCATTTCTCTGGGGGGAATACTGAGGCTCAGGGAGACAGAAAGATCAAGGGACTTGCTCAGGGTCACACCCCTGGTAAGTGTCTGCCCCCAGTGGACTCCAGGTCCAGAGGTCAAAGCAGGGAGCATTCCTCTTCTGGCTGACAGAGCATCAGCTAGGGTGTATCTGCCCCACTTTAGGGAACAGAGAGCACAGCGGAGGCAGAAGACCCCAGAAAAGACACTGGCCTGACTTGTGATGTAATGGAAAGAACACTGGCTTTGGGCTCCCAGGCCTGGGTTCACATCCTAACTCTGATCAGTAATAATAGCAGACATTTCCAGAGTACTTCAGGCTTTACAAAGCACTTTATAAATAATATCTCGTTTGATCCTCAATAATCCTGGGAGGTAGCTGTGACTTATCCCCATTTTATAGATGAGGAAACTGAAGCAAATAGAGGTTAAGTGACTCACCCAGAGTCATACAGCTGTCTGAGGCAGGATTTGAACTCAGTTCTTCCTGACAGCAGACCTAGTGTTCTAACCGCTGCACCACCTCAGTCCGCTACTTTCTGACCATGATTGAGTCACTTCTTTCTGGTGCTCAGCTTTCTAATGAGGAGTTTGGAGTGCATTCCAACCTTCCCTCAGACTCCGAGGTCCAGAGCAGGACCCTCCCTCTGTGCCCAGGTCAGAGCCTTCCCTGTTCTCCAGGGAGATCTCAGGGCAGTATCTCCTTTGGGGTTCTTTGCCTCCATGCTCTGATTCCAAGGCACCTAAGACATGCACTGGCTGGTTCCTCAGGAGTCAGGATGAAGGGGTTTCCTGATCTGCTCTGCCTCCCTGCACACACAGACACACCAATGTCTCTCACCTCTGTCTAAGTCAATATTTTTGGCTAGGGCCCCCAAGGCCAGATCCACTCGCTCCTTCAAGATGTTGTTTTTATAATCTAGGAGGGAAAAGGATGAGAGCTGTAAGAAATAGCAGCATACCTCCCGCTACCCCGGGAGATGATGGGGGACAGCCCTATCCAGGGACAGTGGCTGTGCCTATAGCACCGAGGCTCCAAGGTGGAGCTGTAGATACCATTAGCATCTCTACAGTTTGTGCCTCAGTTTCCCCTCTCCCTCCAGGGTAAGATGTTCCCCCTTCCCTTACCCAGCCTGATGTCCTCATTCCTAAGCTGAGACAAGTCAGCTGAATCCACTGAAAATTCTTTCATATTAACATCTTTCCTGGAAAAGGGAGAAGCAGAAATTGGTTAGAAATTGGGGCAGCAGGGGGCAGCTAGGTGGCACAGTAGATAGAGCACCGGCCCTGAAGTCAGGAGGACCTGAGTTCAAATCTGGTCTCAGACCAAACACTTGACACTTACTAGCTGTGTGACCTTAGGCAAGTCACTTAACCCCAATTGCCTAAAAAAAAGAAAAAAAAAAGAAATTGGGGCAGCAAGGATGGGCTGAAGATGCAGAGGACAAAGAGGGCAGGGGAGGATCCCCAGAGTCCTCTGGTGGCATCAAGGGCCATGGAGGA